GATCCTCACGGCTCAAAGTTAAGAGCATGGGCTCGTCAATGCTTGCAGCTAACAAAAAGGCAAATGCCAGTTAAACACACACACACACACACACATACATGTAACATGAAATCTAACCTTTAAGCATAGATGCTGTTACGTGATCCAGCTTCTCCTTTGCTCAATCACCTGCAAAACAAATATATTTTGTTATTTGATTAGGTTTTTTGATTCCTGAATAAAACTGTATTGAGCCCACTTTAATAAATCTAATTAATATAAAAATCATAACAAAAGAAGATTTTTTTCAGGAGGAAGATTAAAGAATGTCGAGCAGACATGCTCCGCTGTTTAGCTGTAAAACGGGAAAAGGAGACTTGCTAATTTATTTAATAATTGTTCTCTAAAACTCTGCCAGGGATGCTAAGCTAACACTAGCATCGTTAGACATTCCCGCCCAAATAAAATATTCTGTTGAGCCCACTTTAATGAATCTAATTAATATAAAAATAATAACAAAAGAAGATTTTTTCAGGAGGATGATTAAGATGAATGTCTAGCAGACATGCTCCGTTGTTTAGCTGTAAAACGGGAAAAGGAGACTTGCTAATTTATTTAACCCTTACCCAACGTTTAAATTTTCTAACGTTAAAGTCATTAGAGCACAAAAAAATGCACTTAGAAAGCTTCCTTTAGAAATATTATATAATATTTCATAAGTCCCAATTTTTTTACATGAATTTCATCCTTGGCTTCAGCCCTAACAAAATATAATAAAATATGTGTGTGTTTCTCAGATTTAACCCCTTCATTGCCAGGTTTATTAGCAAAACCCGCAGTTTGAAAACTGTACAAAAAATGAAAAAATCAAATCATTTTTTGTGTGTTATGTCCAGATTAACTTTTTTGTGGGTAAGTTGTCACAGCCTTGGAGTGTCACAAATAGGCATAAAAATATTTTTTGCTCACTTTGTAGTTTTTGTGTAATGTCACATTTTCTAAAATACTCACGTTAAAGTCATTAGAGCACAAAAAAATGCACTTAGAAAGCTTCCCATAGAAATATTATATAATATTTCATAAGTCCCAATTTTTTTACATGAATTTCATCCTTGGCTTCAGCCCTAACAAAATATAATAAAATATGTGTGTGTTTCTCAGATTTAACCCCTTCATTGCTAGGTTTATTAGCAAAACCCAAAGTTTGAAAACTGTACAAAAAATGAAAAAATCAAATCATTTTTTGTGTGTTATGTCCAGATTACCTTTTTTGTGGGTAAGTTGTCACAGCCTTGGAGTGTCACAAATAGGCATAAAAATATTTTTTGCTCACTTTGTAGTTTTTGTGTAATGTCACATTTTCTAAAATACTCACGTTAAAGTCATTAGAGCACAAAAAAATGCACTTAGAAAGCTTCCCATAGAAATATTATATAATATTTCATAAGTCCCAATTTTTTTACATGAATTTCATCCTTGGCTTCAGCCCTAACAAAATATAATAAAATATGTGTGTGTTTCTCAGATTTAACCCCTTCATTGCTAGGTTTATTAGCAAAACCCAAAGTTTGAAAACTGTACAAAAAATGAAAAAATCAAATCATTTTTTGTGTGTTATGTCCAGATTACCTTTTTTGTGGGTAAGTTGTCACAGCCTTGGAGTGTCACAAATAGGCATAAAAATATTTTTTGTTCACTTTGTAGTTTTTGTGTAATGTCATATTTTCTAAAATACTCACGTTAAAGTCATTAGAGCACAAAAAAATGCACTTACAAAGATGACCAGTTGAACACTTTATTAAAGCACACGAACAAAGAAAAAGTGTGTGTGTGTGTGTGTGTGTGTGTGTGTGTGTGTGTGTGTGTGTGTGTGTGTGAGAGAGAGAGAGAGAGAGAGAGAGAGAGAGAGAGAGAGAGAGAGAGAAAGAGAGAGAAACACAGAGGGGAGTGAGCTAACAGCTGCAGGCTGAGCACACAACTGTTGAGTGCTCCTTGCACACAGCCTGTCCACATGCATGGCAAAAGCGTGCATGCACGCTCCTCTTCCCTCTGCAAAGGTGGCATCTTTTCTTTGTCTGCTCCTGGGCTGGACCTGGCTCCACTTGCTGCTGCACCTCCAACAGAGCTGCAGCGCTGCTGGACCGCGGCAAGCGAGTGCGCCTCGCCTGGGCTGGTCTCACCATGGAGGTCCCAAGCTCCTGCAAGAACAGCCTTCGACGGATGCTCCTCTTCTGTTGGTTCCAGGCCGGTTCCACAGACAGCCACAGGACCAGGGCATTGTAGGCGCTCACATCTAACATGTTGCAGAAGAGCGACATGGGCCAACGTCTGGTCTTGCGGCGGCAGCTGTATGTTGCAACGAGCTGGAATAAAAATAAATGAATAAATAAATTACATATGCAATTAGGTTGGTGAATTATAATAAAACAAAATAAAATAAATAAATTACCTTGTCCAAGTTGTCAACTGCCCCTTTGCAGCGGTTGTAATCGATGATTACGGTCGGCTTCTGCTGCGGTCCCTCCTGGATCTGAACCTGATGGTGTTTGGTGCTGAGGAGCAGAACGTTCCGCCGGCGCTTTGGAATGTAGCTCACCGCGGTGGCGGTGGAGGTGAAGCCGAACAGGGAGGACAGAACCGCTCTGCTTTTCATCTGGAGCAGCTGTGGGGGCAACTCTGGCTTGTTGCGCCTAACTGTTCCCACAAGACAGATTTTTTTTTTAGCAGCTCCTCTCCAAGAACCAGCGAGGTGAAAAAATTGTCCGTGGTGACAGTGCGGCCGCTCAGACCCTCCGTGAGTTCCAGCACCACCCGCTTCCCTTGCCCCCTTTCTGCCGGGGCGTCTCGAGTCGTCTTGCCCAGATAGGGAATAATCCCCCAGGCATAAGAAGTGGCCACATCGCACACCACCCACAGCTTGATGCCATATTTTGCCGGTTTTGAGGGCATGTACTGCTTGAAGTTGCAGCGACCTCTGAATCCGACGAGCTGTTCATCAACGCAGACATCTTCACCGGGGTTGTAGGCGAGAGGGAGCCGGGCCGCCCAGAGGTCCCACACTTCCCGCAGGGGAGCGAGCTTGTCCTGCTGCACCAACCGGCGGGCTGCCCTGGTCAAGCGGTCATCAAAGCGCAATGTTGCAGTCAGCATGTGGAACCTTCCCAAACTCATCGTGGCTCTGAATATCGGCCTCCCCGTTTCCTCCCCCCAGAGGCTGGCAGATGATTCCCCACGGGAACGGTGCACACCAGCGAGGATGAGCAACCCAAACAATGCCCGGAGTTCCACGCGGTCAACGTCTGTCCAATCGTCATATTTTCTTCTTCCCTCTATATTGGTGTATTTTATTATTACATCTAGGATTGTTGTAGTTAAAAAAAAATCGAAGCTGTCCTCAATAGTTTGGATGTAGCTGACAGCGAGGCGGGTGATCCCACAATGGCGGACTTCTGGAGCCCGAAAGGGGATCCTGGTGTCGGGTGTCGGGGACCAGGCGATCCCGCTCTTTGATTGCCACAAAGGATTGTCCCATCTCTCCTCTGCAGCAACCACCTCCTCATCTGAACCTTCTTCCATTTCTTCCCCTGAATCAGGCCCTGGGGTAAAGGCCTGATCTTCAGCCTCTTCATCCGAACAAGAGCTGTCATCCGTGGATGAGGATGAGGCTGACTCTCCCTCTTCCTCAAGCTGCTGAAACACCTCCAGGGCTTTATTCACATTGAATCTTCTTCTCATGGTTGCGGTTCAAAGAAATGAATCCTGATCTGAGTCTCATATATGTACTTTTAGTCAATTGGTGCACCTGTGTAAGCTGCCCCTACTGAATGTAAACAAAATTCGATTCTGCAGGAATTTGTTTTGAAAAACAAATGTATGCCTTTGAAGTTTTTCAGCCTTCATCTTAGCTTTCATCCATGCAAATGCTTTGTACTTATTGAAATAACATTTTGCAAAAGTAAAATTGTGAATGAGTATCTGAAATTTAGCAGAAAATCCTTTGATTTTTGATATATAGCATGCCTTTGATGAATATTCATGAAGTCAACAGAGTGTGAGAACCTGTGCCCCCCCCCTACACTCCCATGGCCCACACCTGCTCAACCACTCCAGATAATGATCACAGATCTGTCCTTTGAAGATCTGTAAAGTGCTTTGATACCTACATACACGCATGCCTGAACAATCACACACAAAGGAACACATGTCAAAATGCTATTTTGCAGAATAAGCTAATTTTGTACATTCAGTCAGGCTTATTTTTTGAAAGAACACTGAAAAAGCACAATTACCAAAAATTCAGAACACACACATGCAAACTATTGTATGGCATCTCTAAATAACACACAAACCATTTTTTTGCAAAATATGTATTATAATGGGCAGTCAGAGGTAAAGAAATACAGCTAAATCATTCAGTTTAAATGCTGGGTCAGCCATTGCCCTGCTATATATGGAGAAAGTATGCCATGTAGTGAAAAACAGTAAAAACTGCTTCTTACATTTGTGATGAGACTGTAAACACGGGCACAATCATAATTTTTTAAAATTATGCCAATATTTATGCTAATTAAAAATATATGATTTACATGAAAGTCAATGGCACAAAAAAATGCTTCAATGTGCTTAACTGTACAAAATGATTTCCACGTTTTAATAAAGTAGGTTGAATATTTTTTCAAACTTTTTTTTGTAATTCCTTCCAAAATACACATCCTCCATAAAAATTAGATAAATTGCATTAACATAGCCAAAGTTATTCACAAAAATACACGTGTCAGCACAAAAAAATGCTCTAATGTGAGGTAAGGGTTAATAATTGTTCTCTAAAACTCTGCCAGGGATGCTAAGCTAACGCTAGCATTTGTTAGCTTGCTCCATTAGACATTCCCGCCTTAATAAATATTCTGTCCGCTTGAACTGAAAACAACGATTAGGCTAAACACAGCTTATATATCACATTTTTAAATTGCTTAACTCTCTCTCTTGCTTATATATCACATTTTAAACTTGCTTACCTCTCTCTAAGTGTTCTCATATAGTTTTTTCTCGCTACTGTACCGAAGATCGCCCGCATGCAAATGAAATGGAGTTGGGTAACAACTAACACGGAACAAGAAGGGGGTGAAAATCTAAATTTTTGCTTCTACATAAAATTTAGTAATTTGTGCATTCATGATAAAAGTTAGTATATTTAAATCTCTTATTCTATTCAATATCTTGTCTTATGGATTTCATTTCAATGTCTTTTTTGGGACAGTTTTATTTTTGTTACATAGTTAGGATTAAACCCCCATCAAGTTGGTATGTTCCAAACTAGCGCGGTAGAAGTTCCACTTCCGGCTCATGGGTGAAGCAGCTAAAGAGTAGCTTTTGAACAAACTAGCATTTTATGCATTACTTTGTAGTTATACAATGGCCTGCTGGAGGTGCGTTATTTGCTTCGTTTTTGTTGCATTAACGCTGAAGTCACTTTTCAGTCACATTAATACTGCACACAGTCGCAGTCCGGATTTCCGTGTCATTTGTGGAATCGATGGATGCGCCGAGGAATACCGCGTTTTCAGCTCTTTCTACTACCATCTCAGACGGACACATTCGCAATGTTTCGCCGCTGGGAAACCTCCTACAGGTTGTCTCACAGCTTCATTCGATGCAAATCTGTTAGGAAGTGAACATTTTGGTACAGCTATTTTTGCCGACTGTACTATCGAAACAAGACAAACTGAAGCAGAAACACCAGATTTCTAACGTTGGTTGTGTTGGAGCAGGAGCGACAGAAAAGTCGGAATTTGATGGACAAAGACCAATCGGATGTTCAAACACCACGTCAGAATCAGGTAATGTACTTTGTGTGTGTGTGATTTATGAATATCTTCCAAATGAAGCTTTCTAGCACTGAAGCTTGTCTCAGATGGTTTATGCTTTACCTCAACACTTGTTTGTTGTCACTTTTCTGTCAATTTCTTACAGGCATACTGAAGTAAAATCAATGTACATCGTAATACACAAAAACAGACACACAAATACACATTTATTTATTTAAAAACATTTTAGGCGAACTTAGGCATCAAAGTGAACGTCACTATGAATATGAATATTCCACACAGAGCTCAGACATGATGTTTACTGATGCTGTTATGGTTCCTCCATATTTATTTATTTGACTTATTTGTTGAGTTGTCAGCTTTTTTCCCCCAAATTGTGTCTACTGAAGTTCATATTTGTAAAATATTGTAGGCTGAGTTACAATATTTTAAACCGATTAAACTTCTTATTTACTGGTGTATAATTGGTGTAACTTACTTACCAGTGAACCAGCAGCTTTCAACAAGCGGGTTCACTTAACTCCGGAGTCGATTCCATAAAGATTGCTTAAATTTATTAAATAATTCCTAAATTCATAGGCGTCATTTTAACCGGGGACGCCGGGGACATGTCCCCGGCAAAATTTGTGACTGGCAGCTGTGTCCCCCCCACTTTCAAAAACGCCTGCTGATGAGGATTTTTGTTTTACCAGCTCAGATCTTATACCAGGGGTCGGCAACCTATTCCCATCAAAGAGCCATTATTACCCATTTCCCACGGTAATTTTGGACGGACCTTAATAAGCAGTGACTTAAGTGAAGCAGGCAGGTCGCGCTAGAAAATTTCATTTAAAAAGACGTCATAAATGTGTTCCCCCGTCCTTTTTATTTATAAAATATGAAGTAAAAACTCACAATTTAATTTTCATTCATTTGTCATTAATATTTAGTCTACACCCGTGCGTTAAGTGGACCATCTTCCAGTAAACGCAAAGCATCCAGCCCACCTCTCCAAATGCGTAAAATGTGCATCAGCCGCTAGTTAGGCGCGCCGCGCGCACCATCAGCTGATCAGCCCAGACAAGAGCAGAGCAAATAGAGAAAGAATAGAGGATAATTGTGTCTGGATGTGGATGGAGATTACATTTTACAGCAGCCTGATCATCATTTAAATACGTAAACCATCACCTGTCTTCTAGTCCACGCTATCAGCATTATTTTAATTGGTGTGTGTGTGTGTGTGTGTGTGTGCGTGCGTGCGTGCGTGCGTGCGTGTGTGTGTGTGTGTGTGTGTGTTTTCCGCTTCAAACACTGGTCTAACCAACCAGACCAGCGTGTCCAGTAACATATTAATGTTACAATTAAACAGTTTCCCTTCATGTAGGCTAGGAACGTTTCACCTGCCGTGGCCCGACCGCTTCTGCTCCACATAAACTTTGTGTGTGATCAAATGTCTCTACGGGTCATGCGTCTCCATATTAGAGACGGGAACAAGCGCTGTTCAGCCAAAGTTTCATAATTTCATAAAAAGAACATTTTTCCAAGTGACACATCCCTCAGAGAGACCGGGTTTCCAGACTGTTTCAGTGGAAGGAAATCTTATCGCATGCGCGTGGTTCTGCGCTGCGCTGCGAACCCCTCAGATCTTCAGCTCACTGTCCATCGTGGGCGCTCCGAGCCGCGCTGAACACAGTGTCCAGTATAAAGCTCTGATGTTCTGATGGGAATATTTTACCTCCGCGATGTGCGTTAACGATTAAAATGTCAGCTCATCCATGAGCATCCGTGTGCGTCGGGGTAATTCTTTCAAACCAAGCAACATCCTTGAGTTCATCTGTCAAAATAAACAGTCAAATGGAAATATCTGTAACCTGCCGTTTAACTGTTTTGCCTTCCTGTGAAGATTGTTGCAAAGAGAAACAATTAAACTTGATTAACCCCAGAGCCACCCAGAGCGCATGCGGGAAGATTCCTCCCACTAAAGCGAGTGTTTTCCAAACCCTGTCTCTCAGAGAGACTTGTCACTTAGAAAATGTTCCCTGATGATGAAACTTTGGCTGAATAGTGCTTGTTCCTGTCTCCAATGTGGCGACACATCCAGGAGCCGTCTGAGGAGAAGCCCAGAATCTCACATCCTCTTCAGCTCATAAAGTGCCGATATGATTACTCACAAGCGTGACCGGTCAACCATCGCAGACCGGGTTGGACCTGTTCAGGTTTACGCAGACAATCTTTACATTTAGAATTGGCATACAGGTGTAAAATTAATGCAGTAAAATATAAAGCATTTTATTTAAATATCCATTCATTATTTTATAAGCACAGAGAGCCGTATCAGATGGATGGAAGAGCCGCGGGTTGCCGACCCCTGTGCTAGCCTACTTTATTGTCCCCAGCAATATTTAAACTCCACTCAAGTGTATGGTTATTGTCCCCAGCAATTCTGAAAACAAACTGACTAGGGCTGGGACGACGCGTCGACGTAATCGATTACGTCGACACGTAAAATACGTCGACGCATATAATTTGCGTCGATGCGTCATCACGTTCAAAAAACAAACATGGCAGTAGCGAGTAGTGGCAGCGTGAGCGGGGTCGACTTAAATCACTCAACCCGAACTCGCAGTTCAAAAGTATGGGACTATTTTAACAAAAAAGGAAGCGATTCAGTCGTTTGCCGGCTTTGTAAAATGGAAATGGCCTATCATAAAAGCACGACGGCTATGCACCAGCACCTCAAACGAAGGCATCCAGGAGCAGCTTCTGCAAACGAAAAAACACCGTAAGTTTTCAACTTTTTTTTTTTTTTACTAACGCTGTTTTATAACATCCAAACACCCCACGTAGCCATGCACTAACTCACACACACAAGCAGACCCACTGCTGCCACGCTGCTTAGCAGTAACATATAGCAGCAGCTGTTATCTGTTTGTTGCTATTTATTTGTGGCTCATGATGGCCAAATGAGTCGGAATGCACACGTGCTGATTATGAGAATCAGCGAGAGCTGAAAATGTGGGACGGTGCTAATTGTCCGCAGTAAAAATGTTAACAAAGACAACGTAGCACCTGCTAAATGTAGCCGTCGTGGACATTATTACAATATTGTTGAAGTGCTTGCAAAAGCAAAATGACAACGGACTCTTGATTGTCAAGTTTAATGCCTCATCCTGTTTGAACGTTATTTTTATACATCATGCTCCTCCAGCTTGTTGATCTTATAGATCTAAGTTGCACCATCTAATGACTACAAAAATGTGCAGCATTTTGTGTTAAAACCTCTTTTTTAACAAATCTTGTAGATTAAATATTTTGCAAAAACACTGAAATACAGATCTTCAAATTATTATTTTGATATTATGCTTTCTACATAAATATTTTTGTAATAATTTTAATTTATCTGTGTTGTATGTGTGATTTATGTTTTCAGGAACAAACAGAAAAGTCTGGTGGACTTCTGTCAGAGAAGAACACCCTGCACCCCCCCCAGGAGGTGGCTGTACTTACTGAGAGCGTCCTATCTATGATTCTGAAAGACATGAGGCCACTTGCTGTGGTTGAGGGTGAAGGATTCAAAGAAATGCTGACCACTTTTCAACCAGGTTACACTCTGCCTTTCTAGGCGCCATTTTACAAGCATGATGGAGAGAAAATATCAAACTTCAGTTGAGAAACTAAGGAGCGAACTAAAAAAGGCCTCATCCAAAATTTCTTTTACCACTGATGCTTGGACAAGTCTAGTCACAGAATCCTACTTAGGAGTAACTTGTCATTTCATCAATGACAATTGGGATCTTCACTCCTTCAATTTAACAACACTCCCAGTTGAAGAGCGCCGCACTGCAGAAAACCTTGCCTCCTGGGTGGAGAAGGTGGCAGAAAAATTCCACATTTCCTTGCATAATGTCCTTGCCATTGTGCTTGATAATGCAAGTAACATGGTTGCAGCTCTCCACATCCTGGAAGAGAAGTTTGGAGTGGTATCCTATCGGTGTGCTGGGCATACACTGCAACTGGTTGTAAACCATGCATTGACAGACCCCAAGATTGATAAGGCACTATCAGCTGCACGGGGCCTTGTAAAGCACATCAAGAAAAGTGAGCCAGCTGCCATCAAGCTTAAGGAGAAGCAAAAACAGATGGGTACAGCTGAGCATAAACTAATCCAGGATGTAGCTGTCAGGTGGAACAGCTCATACTACATGATTGAAGGTCTGTTGGAACAGAGATGGCCAGTAGTTGCGACGCTTTCAGATCCAGAAGTCACACCGCGTGGGAAACAGTACCTGGATCTGAAAAATGATCAGTGGATTCTTCTGGGTGAGTTGAAGGAGGTACTCAAGCCTTATGAGCAAGCCACTAATGTTCTTAGTGGACAATCTTATGTCACAGCCTCTGTTCTCCCCCCACTGCTGAAGGGTCTTCTGAAATCCACTCAAAACAAATCCTTCGATTCTGCTGCAGTGAACATTTTCCAGAACAGTGCAGAAGAGGAAATCATGTCAAGGTGGCAGCCAGAGGTATCTGCATTTCAAGAAGATGGGAAAAATGTGTCACTCATTGCTGCTGCCCTCGATCCACGTTTTCGTAAACTGAAATTTCTTTCTCCAGAGGATGCTCTGAAACTGCAAGTAAGAGTACAGAAGGATGCACTTGACCTCAAAAGGGAGCAGAGATCACAGCTTCAGCAGGCAACTGTGGGGCAGGAAGCCTCAGCAAGTCCCCCAACAAAGAAGAGGTCTGTGTTGGACACTTTGTTGGGTACAGATTCTGAGGAGGAAGATTGTAATGAAAACATTGACCAGGGTGGGGACGGGGAAAATGAGACAGTGAGGAAAGAAGTACTGTTGTACTTTGGGGAAGCACCTATTCCAAGGGATAATGACCCCCTTACATGGTGGAAGAATAATGCTACAAGATTCCCCACACTGGCTACTTTAGCCAAATCATATCTAGCTGTACCTGCCACATCAACACCCTCTGAAAGGCTTTTTTCTGTTGCTGGAAACATTGTCACCAAAAAAAGGGCAAGCCTGACTGCTGAGCATGTAGAAATGCTAACATTCCTTCTAGGGCTGTAGCGAAGCCTCGACGAAGTCGACGGCTCGATTCTAAAAATTTGTCGACGTCAGATCCGGAAGTCGACGCACCGCGCCCACTTGTTGCATCCCCCGGAGTTTGTAAATAGAGGAGGAATCTGCCCGTTTTTCCTCTAGTTCGCCCTCTTCTCCGCCTTCACTAACATCTCCGCCAAATACCGAAGACCCGGAACAACGTCCGTCCACTACTAGATTATTTTCCTGTTTTGCCCGCCTTCGTCTCCCGGCAACGGACAACAACTTCCGGGGTCAGATGCGCTGCTTCGTGTCTATCGCAGATGTAGAAAATCACCGGGAGCGCTTCTCCCTTCATAAAGGAGCTTCTTTCAGACATGAGGAGAGCTGTTTTGGTGGTAGCAGTCTCTCCTCCGTGCTGGTCTGTTTGCTGCTGGGTGTTTTTGGTTTATTTAAACTTGGTAACTTGAACTTAACGTTGGTAAAGCTACTGTTAGCATCTTCGCTAACAGCTTCTTGCGTTGGGATAAGCTGTTACGTTTTGGTTTAGAGTTCATCTTTTTTGTGGTGTAGATCTCCCTTTTATTACATTTAGAGTGTTGTGGGTTTTCGGTTTAGTGTAAAATATCACCTGAGTTTGGTTTAACCCGTAAGACCACTCGCCTCACGCACATAAGTGACCAAAACAAAGCAGCATGGAGACACTCCATCTTCTACCACCTCTCAGGCAGCAGCCTGCACTCCCAAGTTCTACACGTCATCAGAACATAACCAACCGCAACACAATAAAAGCAGTGTTATACAAAATGGAAGGCCTGTAGTGTTTATTCTCTTACAGTAACAATTAATCAATTTTTTTGAGGAATTTATTTGAGATTTTCTGGTTTTTGTTAATTGTGCAATAGAAAAATAATCATTAGATTAGTTTTCTAAATAGTCATTAGAATAGTCGACTATTCGATAAAATAATCGTCAGAATAATCGTTTTAAAAATAATCGTTTACCCCCAGCCCTAATTCCTTCACACCAATGCATAACTGCTTCATGTGATGAATATGATTGGACACACACACACACACACACACACACACACACACACACACACACACACACACAGAAACAAGAGAGAAGGCAGCAAAATGGATGTTATTTTTTTAAAGAGCACTTTTTTTGCAGAGAGCAAAGTGAATGTTATATTTTTTTTGTTCAAAGACACCATTGCTGCTGTTTATTTATTTTTTGTTGTTTTGCACAACATTTAATTTCTTGTTAAATGCTACCTCTAAAATAAGATTGTACTACTATTTTATTTTGGATTTTTTTTTTATTAAAACAACAATGCATAACTACTTCATGTGATGAACAAAAGAAAAGGCAAAATTGATTTTATTTTGAAAATGAACAACACTTTTTTGCAGAAAGCGAAGTGAATGTTAGATTTTGTTTGTTAAAAGACGCCATTGCTGCTATTTATATATTTTTTGTTATAAAATTTCCTTGATTTATATGAATATTTTGCACAACATTTAAGTTTTTGTTAAATGTTATCTCTAACATAAGATTGTACTACTATTGCAACAACTTTATTTTAGAATTTATTTTATTAAAATGTGTTCAAATGAAGAAATTTGCGTTTATTTCATTGAGATACATAAATTAGTAATAATCAAACTTTTATACAAGTCAAATAATTGGGAAATAATCAATAATTTAATCTAATCAAAATATAATCAAATTAACAAATTAATCGTTAGATTAATCGATGCATCGAAAAAATAATCGCTAGATTAATCGATTACAAAAATAATCGTTTTGCCCAGCCCTAAAACTGACGCCCTTGCCTAAATTGTTTACAAAATGTGCAGCTTGACTAGATATGCCTCATCGTATTAATTTTGTAATTGCAAATAAATACAACCAACTGTTGTAATATTTGTTTTGCTTTGTTTAGTTACTGATAGAATTGGAAACACGTTCAGGGTGAGTTACTTTTCTTACACAATTGTCTTTCTTTGGTCCTGTAGGGCGTAAGAGAACCTGTTGCTCTCGCCAGATGTGCAGCTGCATTTACTATTGGTGTGCGGGAGCAATGCCACCTATCACAGGTACTGCCTCATCTAATAATACCCCCTATTTTTGTGTCATTGTTCATTTGGAAAAAAAGGGGATAATTTTAAAGTGTAGTTCACTGGAGTGAAAAGATATTTTAACCTTAACAAGTTTTTTCATTACTATTTTACTATAAATAAATAATACTGAAAAAAGTTAACAATTCAATGCATTGTATTTATATAGCGCCAAATCACGACAAGAGTCGTCTCAGGGCACTTCACACAGTAAACAGTTAGATATGCCACTCAGTAAAAAGTTTCCTATATAAGGAACCCGGCAGGTTGCATCGAGTCACTGACTTGTGTCAAGTGTCTTTACAGCAATCCTCATACTAAGCAAGCATGTAGCGACAGTGGAGAGGAAAACTCCCTTTTAACAGGAAGAATCCTCCAGAGGATCCTGGCTCAGTGTAAGCAGCCATCCTCCATGACTCACTGGGGATGGAGAAGACAAGAACACACACACACACACACCCTGCATAGTCACATACTCACACAAGCACACCCACACGCACACACACACACACACACACACACACACACACACACCCTGCATAGGTACACACACCACATTTACTAAATAGTGTTTCTGAGGCTGCTCATCCTCTATGTGCAGCTATTAACCTACAGGACCCAGCAACACAGATGCATTTTAACCCGGTTTCACCTGAGGAGATCATCATTTCCATGTATGCCTGTAGAGTTAAAAAGGGAGAATCTAGAGTTCTTGCAATGAAAAACAAGTCTTTCTACTACATCCCTCTGATTGAAAGTTTGAAACAGCTACTATCCAATTCAAGACTATTTGACATGTTCAGTGCTGCACCTCAAAGTTGCTCCAAGGCCAATTTTTTGAATGACATTAATGATGGAATTATTTTCAAAACCCACCCACTGTTTTCTAAGAAGAACTCTGCTTTAAAACTTCTATTGTATTCTGATGAGGTAAAAATGTGTAACCCCCTAGGGTCACGTGCAGGTGTAAATAAATTATTAATGTTTTATTACACATTAGGCAACATCGACCCTAAGTTTAGATCAAAGCTGGCTTCAATCAGACTTATTGGAATCGCAAAGTCTAAGGACATATATGAGTGTGGGGTAAACATTATACTGCAGAGAATTGATGAGGACTTGAAGTTGCTGTGTGACGGTGTTATGATTAACACTGTGAATGGGGAGTTTTATTTAAATGGAGCAGTTCTTGCTGTGTGTGGAGACACTCTTGCCCAGCATGAGCTTGCAGGATTTAAGGAAGTAGTTGGTTTTGCATATAGCAAATGCCGCCATTGTGAGTGTACTTTTGATGAAATGCAAGCAAATTTCAATGAACAGAGTTTCACCAGACAGACATTGGACGGACACATAAGACAGTGCAAAGAAATTGATAGGGCAACTACTGAATTCTTAAAATCCTCGCTTAAAACGACTTTTGGCATAAATAGACAAAGCAAGTTAGTTGATTTCCCTGGTTTTAATCTCATAGAGTAAATGCCACAGGGTATTATGCATATAATTCTTGAAGGATTGGCACCAATGGAAATTAAGTGTGTGTTGAAATATCTTGTTTTATCTGGAAATTTAGAGTTGGACATTTTTAATTCTGCCATGCAGACTTTTCCTTTTTCATCAACAGACATACGTGACAAGCCTTCACCAATTAGTATAGCTACTTTAGCTTCAAGTGACAACAGACTCAAACAATCCTCTGGACAGATGCTTATATTGATCAAGATTTTGCCATTCTTATTGGACTGTGTTGTGGAGAAAAATCCATATATCCAGTTTATTTTGGATTTAATTGAAATTATTAAAATACTTTTTGCCCCAGTCTTGTCTTTACAAACTGTGTCCAATGTTAGGTATTTTTATTGATTCATCTTTGTTGTGAAATCTTTTGTTAAATGTGTTGGGGAAAAAACCTGACCTTACTTGTTTTTATGTTTGGGTGTTTTAGGAAACTCCTTTCTGCTTTAGGCATTTTGATCCAGTATCTGAAGTTTTCCTTTGTCCTGTGCATTCTAAGACCAAGGTGTTTTCCATTAGGTAAGGGCAAACTGGTCAGGTAGGAAAAGTAGCTCTAATCTAGAAACTTCTCTTCTGGTTATAGAATTTGTGGGTGTGCATTCTGTGATGTGTGGTTGGGTGTTTGTGCCAATAAATACTCGCTGCAGTTTCCAACTCGTTGTGAGAACAAATGACCGTCTTGTCTGGTGTTTGATTCTCACCCTTTGCAGAGTTTACACTTTGCAGAGCTTGTTGTCTGTTTAAGGTTTGTTACAATTGACTAAATTAAGAATCTAATCCCTCTGTGTGGGTGTTCTGACTCCCTTTCAGGTAATTTAAGTTTAAGGTAATATAAGAACAATAGTATAAATTAAAATACGCAACATAATAGTGAATACGGATAGATTAAAATTACCGAACATAGATTAAATTACCTAACATCCAAACTAAAACAGATGATAGAGAATCATCTTAAACAATTCAGGCAACTATTTCCTGAAAACAATGTAATCCCAAAGCAACATTACATGCTACATCTTCCTTCTCAGATTATTGCTCTGGGACCTGTAATACGGCATATGTGCATGAGATACGAGTCTAAACATAGCTTTTTTAAACAATGGTCGTCCAAATTAAATTTTAAGAATTTGTGCAAGTCTCTTGTAAACCACAATCAGCTGCTGGAGTGTTGTCAAAGTGAAACAGGAATTGAGCATCCAAATTTTTTTTACATGAAAAAGAACTAGGTCCTGTATCAGATGTATCTAATATTAATCATTTACAATCAAAGGTTGTGGATTTTTTTGGGGCATTGAAGATGCTGTACATCATGCTGTTAGAGTAAAGTGGCTTATTTCACATGGTAGCAAATACATCTGTGACAGATCCATGATCCTTATTTCAGCAAATGGTTTAATCCCTACCTTTGGACTTATAAAAAACATTTTTGTTGTTGATAGTGTGCTATATTGCTTTGAATACCAGGTGTATGAAACATTGGGTTTTAATAAAGAGTTTCTTGCCTATGAAGTTGCGATACCTAACCTTGCCCAAGCAACCGAACTGACTGATGTTGAAAACCTACTTGATTATACCTCATATTACACAGTCAATTTCAAAAACTGTGTCTATGTTATGATAAAATATAACCTTGAAGATGTCATTGCTTTAAAACTATAATAAATATGTTGATGGGACTGTGTTTTTCTTATTTAAGGAAAATCAAGTGAATGGTTCTTATTTTGAGAAAGATTTTTATTTGAAACGATAGCTGAAATTTTTTTTGCTTGAAATTAATGTAAAATGGTTAAATTTCAGATTTACAGACTACATAAGAATAAAAAGCAAAATTAGCTTAAAACAAAACTGATCTAACGCATTAGACTGGAAACTAGCTTGTAATGTTTAAAACAAGATTGAGAAGACAATTTGGCTAGATTAAAGACAACAAATCTTGTTAAGCTGCAAGTAATTTGCAGCTGGCAGAGGCAGAGATTTTTTCTATCGATACACGGAATTTACAGAATCATTTTAAAATTTTCATAGGGGAAGACTGCAGGAGGGAGCGGTAAAATACAGGGGGTCCCCAGCAAAAACAAGAAACATTACGTGTGTGATGAAACCCGCTGGTTTTCCATCAGGCACGCCCGGTGGCAGCTCCAACGACCCAGTGGCTGTTCTGGGTCAATGTTATCGAGCTCAGTCCGGCTCGGCCGTGAACGAGCCGAGGCGACGTCGTGCTCTGCTTACGAAGAAGTGTTATGTTCCCGCTTCAGAAGAAGCGTTCAACATGTTTTTATGCTTTCTCCGAGACATGTCACGTCGCTAAGTTGTTAGCGCCGCGCGCTAACACGTCAATAGTGCAGCGTAGCCTGCTGGAGGTTTTAAGGGTTCAGATGAAACACCCGACCACTCAGGCTGCTCACACATCGATCTTAAGATGTCGCTGTTGCACTCACGCCGTAATACAGTATTAGATGCAGTTAAAATCAGACATGAAAAAAATGAATACATTTTACATGAATAAGTGATGCTTAGTCTGGTGGGGGGAGGAAACCTGGCCTAATAAGCACTGGAGGAAACCCTGTCAAGATCGTCAACACTCGTTTATCTTAATGCTATTGAAACATGTAAACCAGAAAAGCATTATATCCACTGCTACCTTTCTAATTTTAAACTCAGTAACTTATGCTGTAACCAAGGGCGGAAATCCCATTTCAATTTTGGGGGGGACAATAAACAGTAAAACTTCAGAGAGTAATTTTTGGGGGGGACATGAAAAAAAATGCTCTCTACATACAACACTGTATGTCCTTATAAGAGACTGACCTGAGACTCTGTGCCTGTGTCTGAGAGGCTCTGGCTGCCTGTGCTCAAGTGACTGGACTTTGCTTATTGAAACCATTTAGAAACAATTTAGTAGGCATTTAATTTCTTTCTTATAGACGTCTATCAAAATGCAAGTTTCTACTTACTTGATGTTCTGGAGCATTAAAAAACGACCTGATGTCTGCCGTTTTTCATTTCTCTGCCATTTCAACTGACCTGCTCTGCTGACAGTTAAACAGCAACACACACACAGATGGGATATTGTCATTAGAACGGAGCTGGAGGATATTGATCAGCAATAATATCTTGCCAATTTTGTACATCTCCATAAGCATCCTTTCTTTTTGTTTTCATTTCAATAATAAGACTGTGGCCTAAAACGGAATAAGCAATTCAGA